ATGGACCACGAGGGGCTGCTGCTTGCGCTTGCGCGCAGCCACGACGGCATAGGGTCTCTACTTGAGACCTTTTTCTCTTTTCTTGCAAATCGCACCGACTTCTTCCATATTCTTGAGGAAGGGGGCCCTTCTATGGGTTTTGCCCCTGCAGCAGCAGAGGCGATGGTTGCTGAATGCTTTGCTAAGTCTCAGCTTGCATATAGAGGATCGAAGCAACCGCACCTAATGCCGCCGCAGCTACGCAACAAAACAATCAAAGATATACAACATATTACTCGTGAATTCAATCTAAGGAAGAAACAAAAACAATACCAGTATGCAAGTCCTATATGTAGATTAGCCGTTCTTGCTGGACCACCAACGGACTTTGTAGGCACTAGTGACCAGGGTACACCGCAGCCGCCGCCGTCGCCGCCGCAACAGCAGCAGCACTTAACTCGACCAGCAGCAGAATCATCATCAACAGCACCATCACCAACAGCAGCACCAACAGCCGCAGCAACAGCAGCAGTAAGAGCAGCAGCAGCAACAATGGAAAAAAGCGCTGCTCCTGTTGCTTCTAGTGTAGAGAAAAGGTCTCGCGGCCAACAGACAGCCGAAGGAGATAGAGGGGTAGTAATGGATACAGACCCCCCAGGTAGCCCCTCTTCTCCATCTCATACAGCAGCAGCAGCAACAACAACACAGACACCAACAAGTAGCAGCAGCAGCAGTAGTACAAGTACCAGCAGCAGCAGCAGCAGCAGCAGCAGCAGCGCTCCCCTGGTGATAGGAGGAAAGAAGGTAACATTAATAAGTCCATGGAATGGGGCGATCCTGGATCGTTATGTTTGGTCACAAAGTATCAGCGAAGTTACATGCCAGATACGTCTATTAGAGCTGCTGCAGAAACAGCAGCAACAGCAACAGCAGCAGCAACAGCAGCAGCAGCAGCAACAGCAGCAGCTGATAAATGAAGTGGATGCACGTCTTCTTAATGTTACATTACGTGATGACTCCATCAAGATCACTTATGATGGTAAGAACTTCTTGTATATACATACAATATCCTACTCCTCCTTATCCTCCTCCTCCTGCTGCTGCTGCTGCTGCTGCTGCTGCTGCTTATGTTGCTGTTTTATCTCTTAACTGTTGCTGCTTTATTTGCTGCTGCTGTTGCTGCTGCATTTCTAGCCATTGAGCTGCTGCATCTCTAACTGCTGCTATATATGCCTGTCTCTATATCTTACATATAATATATTAATTAATTAATATTTATTTATTTATTTATTTATTTATTTTATTAATTATTTATTGTGTTAGGTAGGGTGGTATTTTCTGGTGTATGGTATAAGAGGATTCGTAGTTCAGATAGTTATTGGCTATTAGAACAAAAAATAAATATAATTATATCTATAGATAAACAACAAGAATTATGGTGGGAATCTTGTCTAGTTGGAGACCCTACTATTGATACTACTAAGGTAAACAATTATTTATTTTATTTATTTATTTTATTTATTTTATTTATTTTATTTATTTTTTTTTTTTTTTATTTATTATTTGTATATGATGGGAATCTTTTCTAATTGGATACCTTACTATTTATACTACTAGGGTAAAAATTATTTAGTTTATTTATTTATTTATTTATTTATTTATTTATTTATTTATTTATTTTATTTATTTATTTATTTATTGTTTATATTATGTATTATTTGTATATGATGGGAATCTTGTCTTATATATAGGGGATCCAACTATTAATACTACTAAGATAATATATTATTTATTTATTTATTTATATTGTTTATTATTATATATTATGTATTGTTTATTATTTAATTTATTTATTTATTTATTTATTTATTTATTTATTTATTTATTTATTTATTTATTTATTTATTTATTTATTTGGTGGAGTCTGTAAAGAGAGTAGAAGACTTTGATGATGCAACACAAGGACATATCAGGAAAATTGTATACGAACAAAGACAAAAAATACAAGGTAATTAATTAATTAATTAATTAATTAATTAATTTATTTATTTATTTATATGTATATATACATATATATCCATGTCTGTTTATAAGTATGCGTGTATATGTATGTATGCGTATTTGCATATATAACGGGGATGTAATGAATATATTAGATATATTATATATATATTATATTATATATAAATGTATATATACATATATACATGTATATAGTGTATTATTATGTATATATAGATAACATTAAGTGTGTGTTGTTATGGTGTATACACCAAGATATATATATATATATATA